AGACTTCTTCATCTAAGGGTCCATTTAGGAATGCACACTTCACGTCCATCTGACATATGTGCCAACTGTTTATTTCTGCTATACCAACAACCAACCTGATTGTTTCGATCCTAGCAACAGGTGAAAAAACTTCGTCAAAGTCTATTCCTTCTTTCTGTAGAAATCCTTTCGCCACAAGTCTTGCTTTGTGTCGAGTTACTTCACCTTTCGAATTCGTTTTCACTTTGTATACCCACTTGACATCAATTGCCTTCTTGCCTTGAGGCAATTCGACAAGTGGCCAAGTGTTGTTGTCTTCGATAGACTTTACTTCTTCGTTCATTGCTTTCACCCACTTCGAATCTTTTAATGCTTCAGCTGCATTAACAGGTTCGACATCTGCATAGAAAGCATAATGTACCAGCTCACCTTCATTATCTATTACATCATCTGATGTAATCACACAATCTTGTAATCTTGCAGGCATGCGTCTTGTTCTTTGAGGTCTGCTTATACTTGGTATATCTGCTGGTTCCTCTTGTCGAACTTCTCTTTCGACTTGAGTTTCTAGCTCAACGAATAGGATTCCCACTGAATCTTTCTTGACATTTGCAGTCCAATCCCATTCTTTAAACTCATCTATGATCATGTCCCTACTGATCACAATCTTCTTGTTCTCTGGATCGAACAACTTGTAGCCTCCTGTCGAATGATATCCAACTAGGATCATTTGACTTGACTTGTCATCAAGTTTTCTTCTCAACTGATCTGGCACATGTCTATGTGCAATAGATCCAAATACCTTCAGATGACTCAAGCTAAGCTTCACACCAGACCAACATTCTTCTGGAGTAATTCCTTTTAGCTTCTTTGTAGGACATCTGTTCAAAATGTATGTTGCAGTCGAAACAGCTTCACCCCAAAACTCTTTAGGTAAACTCTTGCCTTTCAACATACTTCTCACCATATTCATGATGGTTCGATTTTTCCTTTATGCAATTCCATTTTGTTGTGGAGTATAGGGTGGCACCACCTCATGCACAATTGCAACTGTAAATTCTGTGATTACAATTAATTGACTTACTTGACTTGCTTGACTTGCTATATAAAAAATAGGGGTTACTCCCTCTATTTATAACTGAACTTACACCCTAAGCCCAAAGCCCAAAATATCTTTTTGTTACTAAATCAAATCAAACCAAATCTTCTGGACTTAAATCAAATCTATTTAAATCTATTCTGGGCTGACACAATGATGAATTATAAATAATGCTTTATAACTCAGCTTCTCAGATTCTGTGTATTTCTTCTTTTCTTCTTCTGAAGCATTTTCGCCAAGCGCTTCGAATTTATCTTTTACAAGGTCCCAAAGACCTTGACACCTGAATAAGACTTTCATCTGTTTGCACCAATTCTCATAGTTGTCAACTTTCAGAATTGGTAGCGTTGCTGGATAGTTTGCATTCCCATAATTTGTCATCGTGAATTCTTCAATCGTTCTTGATTGACACTTCCCTTGAATCAAAACAAAAGCTTTGATACCAGATGTTGGAAATCCACCAAATTCTATGATGAATTTCTACCACAATGACAATTTAATTATGAGACAAACAAAGAAAAGAAGACAAGACAAATATTTCTGCAGAGTTTCTCTCTGCCCACAAACTGTGGAAAACTTTCTTAATCACTTGCAACTGCAAATTCTGTGATTACAATGAATTGACTTACTTGACTTGCTTGACTTGCTATATAAAAAATATGGGTTACTCCCTCTATTTATAACTGAGCTTACACCCTAAGCTCAAAGTCCAAAATATATTTTTATTACTAAATCAAATCAAATCAAATATATTCTGGACTTAAATCAAATCTATTTAAATCTAAAATAAATTAAATCTTCTTTGACACTATGAATTACAATTTAACATTTAAAACAGTTTTTACTTTGATTTTTCTACAATAATATATACTAGAGTGATTGGAGAAGGAAAAAGAAAATTAAATCATATATTATTTTGATTCAAAACAAAAAAATTTCTCATAATTTTTATAAATCAAAAGCAAAATCCGATCCGACTCTAAAAGTCGTCTAAATCGTCGATTTTTCAATTTTTTTAGCGATTTTCTAGTTTAAATTTTGATTCTTCTGCATGCCAGTTTTCAAATCCAAACAGATTAGTTAGAATTTTGATTTTCGATCCAATCGATTGGACTGACGGTCTAGTTTGATTTTTATTATCATATTTAAAATTTTAATAAATTAATTTAATTATATTATATTAATTATATATTAGTTAATACAATTAAATAATAATAAATAAATAAAAGAAGAAAAAATAGACTCTTCATCGGCTCGGCCAATGGATGGCCAAACCCACAAGTGAACCAAAAATGGCACCTGTTCGTTCATGGAATGGACGTGCTTTAGAGGAAAAAGTGACGCATTGGGATTTAAATTTCAAACATGTGGCATATTAGTAATTGAATTTCAAAATGATGACATAAAAGTAAAAAATCTATCCTGCACAATCAATCAATGAAAGTAACACGATTCCAAACAATAGCAAATCTCAAGCGAGACCAAGTTGGACAAACTCTGACAAATTTGGAGTTTCGGTGCAATGGTTTCTTTATGGATGGACAATCCATCACCCACCCATTTCGATTAATTGGTGCATGCATGCTTTTGCCTTTCACTTATTACTGTATCAACCAAAGTGAAAAATGAGGCCCCACTAATTATTTTCTTTTCATTCCGTGCAATGATTAATGGTGGTAATGAACTGTTAATCAACCGAAACAACAAACACGAGACGGATACATACATGTGCATGTAGGTTGTCTTTCCAGTACTTGTCATGTCTATCCCTAGCCTTTGTTTTGTCTTTGAGGGGTTTTGGGCTTTATTTTACCACTTTGAGGATATTGACAGTTATGCTACGCATTTCCTGAATTGAAGACTAGTCTAGTCCCCTATCTAATAATCGTTTTTATCTAATATAACCCCAATTATATTTCATAATTGAGGAGTCTAAGAGATACAAGCTAATCATCATTAATTTGAACACAATGTACAACTTAACACTTATTATCCGAGGTAAGAATTTCTCACTTTTGGATCACGACACTTTTACCTCACCTATGTTTTTTATAGCAAAGATGTTACACTTCTTATTCCCATTTCAACATACCGTGTGCTGCCAACAGATACATTATGCAGAGTTTGCCTCTTTGGGGAGTGACACATCATACCTTGAGTACCCAAAAAAAAATAAAAGAGCATTAAATGAATAAGATATTAAGATCTCATTGCACGTAAGTGTTGAAGGGTGATCAAGGCAATTTGTTGAGCATATAATGGATGATACTTCACATACCATTCCAAGAATGAAAGTTCTCTAAGGCATTTGGTTCAATTGAACCACCCGTAAAATAATATGTTTTGCAACAGTAATACAAATATGTAACTTCCATCATTTTCAAATTTTTATGATTGTCTTAAGTGTTCCAGATTGTAAATCACTTCAACTGTTTGTGCACAACTATTTAATGCCTTTTATCTAATTTTGAACTATTTGATTAGTACCTAAGTTAGATCCCTATATGAAATAATATTTAGTTAAACTCTAGTTATCATCCAATAAATTCAGAAGTACTCAAATTACTTTATCATAAGCATAAAGATTAAGAAAAAAAGTTCTGACTAGTCACTATCGGTGATGCAATGTAAAATTAAAATGTGAATCCTGCTAACTAATATGTGGTGTTGGGGAGTCAAATTTGCTTTAAAACTAGGGCATTAGCTTGTGCTAAATAACAGCCATTCGTCTCCCGGGATTTAAGCAAAGGAGCAGAAATAACCAGTTAAAGTAGATAGACACCTTAAGTATGTCCCCCAGTTCTAAAACCCAAACATAACATGGTAGAGTCCTGATAAAAATTTTCCTGATACACCAAATCTTGCTTTAAGTAAAGCTGGTTCTGAATGTCCTATTCCCACGTGCATTTAATTGAAAAGTACATTAATGGATTTCATTAAAGCTTTCACGTTGTAATTAAAAACTAGTAGCAGGCGAAAATTTAACTCCATTTTAGATGATATCAAAAACCGGATCCTCTACCGCCGGCCAATCACTGTAAATGAATCAGCCAACTGTTGATGTTATTAGTAAAAATAGTTCTAATTACATTTTATGTAACCGAATAAAACCTATAAAATTTAATCAGTGTCACTCTTCTATCGGCATTTTTAGCCATTCTCTCCTGTAACCTATTAGGTAACAGTCTCCGTGGCATTAGGTGAAGCAGGATAAGACAGCAACAATATTTCAAAAACTATATAATTAATGCTTATAAAGACCCCAATTTAACCCATGTCTTGCCCCCTATTTCTCACTCTCAAAATAAAAGATTAATAGATGATGAGTATCACAACTCACAACTAATCACTAACACAAACAATATAAAAAATTCAACTTCTTGATTGCATCTGTCTTGCCTCCTTGTTTCTTTTTTGGTTAGGACTAGGGAATGACTCTTTGGGGCCAAGAACAAGTCCAATTAACCGTTAATCCTTTGACTAAACATAAGCACTTCTAGATCATACCGTACAAACCATAACTAGCTACCTACTCAAATTAAACTGTCAATGATCATATTGATAATTGTAAAATACAATAAGCTATTTCTTATTAATGATATATTGGCTCATAAATGCAAGAACAACACATTCTTCTTAACATAACTGCCAAAACGTTTGTATTTATTTACAGCATCATTGCAACCACATTCAATTTGGGACATATGGCTCTATATCATCAACACAAACCTCACGTACACAATTAAAATTTTGTAAGTAACAAATGAGGTGCCTAACACCTACTAACAGCAGTAATCAACCACATCATCCAAGTATGTTAATACATGTATAAAAACTTCCGTAAAAATACTAATACAAATTGAAAACAATTCAAACTACCTCAAGTCTAAGAACAAATATTGTATCACTTCACTGGAATGGTTCAAGTTGCCACTAGTCCACAATCAGCATCAGGAATGCAGAAAAGAATAACCAATATTCCAATAAACCAAATGATGACAACTAGAAACACCACTCGGTTTTTCCGAGAAAGCCCTTGCGATGGTGATCGCTTGCGATTTCCATCCTCTGGCAGCACATTGTGTTTGAGATCTTGTAGGACATACTCAATTATCTCATCCCTAAGCTTCTTATACCGTGGATCATCATTTTCAAAGGTGAGGATCTCAGGTTTAAAATTTTTGAGAAAATTCATAGTGATTTGATCCTCCACAGAAGTGAATTTAGCACCTTCAAACTCACACACGTCAAAGCAAGTAACGGGACTATTTTCCGTCGAGTCAGTGAGTGTTTCAGGCTCAAGCGAAGTTACAGAGGAAGATTCCTCCAACACGAAAGTCTGAAACAGCGATTAATAATTCGAATCAGTCGAAGACTAACTGTTAAACTTAAAAAACCTTATTTCTTTCTCGAAATCGAATTCATACCTAATAATCGAAAGTTTCAAACAATTTCAACGAATTTCTCCAAATCTTACTATCGTTTCTAACACATAATTAGTAAATAATCGCAGAAAATTAATTCGCTCATTGAAAATCAAACAAACATCAACGATATATCAACAGATCTAAATCTAATTAAATCATTTCTATCGCATAATTAGTAAAAATCATCTGAAATTTTGCATGAAGCTTTAAATTGATAAATGAACAACAGTGATACTTACTGTGACATTTTCATCTAGATTATCTTCTTTGATCTCAGTAATCAGTGATGAATTCAACGATTCTTCGGAAACCGATGCAGATGATGCATTCAAGCTCTTGTTCGAGATCTGAAGAAGAATGAGAAAATGAAATTACACAAATTGAAGAAGAAAACTGAAATGCATAAGATTTAGGAATTGATCTGTGCCTTTTTAGATTTGTTCGCCGGAGAATCTTTGGATCTTCCGGTGCGATTCTCGGCGGAGCGAGCAGAGAGCTTGGTTGGTGTTTGAAGCTCTTTCATTTCGCGGGTAAAAAACGGTTTTCGAATTTCAGTTTCAACTATATATAGGTCGAAAATTTTGGGAGATTATAAGGATAATAATTTATTTTAATTCATTTATCTGTTGTTTTTGGAGGGGAATTGATTTATCGGTTGATAATTACTTTTTCTAAACTTTTTTAAAAGATTAATTGAAATGATATATTTTTTTTTTAAAAACTTATAAGAGAATGAAGTCTACTCTATTTTATTATTATTATTTTTATACAAAACTATAGCTTATTTTATTGTTTAATAAAAAATAGATTTTTGTGATGTTTAAAGGAAGTCTCTATATTTTTTTCCCTTCAAATAATAGAGTATAAGTTGTGAGAATCAAACGATATGCTTTCAAATATAAACAAAAGTTACATTTTTTCTTCTTTTCTTATGTCAAAACTTATTATACTCTTGTTTTTGAAAACGGCTGGAGTGACTTTGTGGCAGTAAAATTACCGAAATTTTGATGTAAATTATTTTAGTCATTGTTAAAAATAATAATTAATAAATAATATTTAATTAAAAGAGATATTAAATGAGAGAAAAAAGGTTAAAGTTACAATAACTTTGCCGCCACAAAGTCACTTAAACCTTTCCCCTTGTTTTTTATTTCTATTTTTTTTTTATAACTTTTTGTCTTATTTATTTAAAAGATTTTAACAAAAACAACAACAATCAAACACTATCTCACTAAATTGAGTAGACTCAATTTTTGTTATAATATTTTATTATAAATCATGATTCTATCATAATTATCAGTTTTGAGATTTTTTTTAATAATTTTTTTATAGTTTTTTTCTAGCTCTAGTTATTTGATACCTCTCTATCTGATCTGTTCTCATTATCATAAAATCTATAAGTCTTCTCTCTACATGTTTATACCACCTAATTCTATTTTTTTATCATTTTTTTTATTATAGGTGTTATCTCGATATTCTCTCTAATATTGTCATTTGTAATCTCATCATGTTTACTTTTACCACATATCCAACTCAATATCTTCATCTCTGTTACATTTATTTTATTTTCATGTTCATTCTTAATCGCCTAACATTTTGTTTTGTACAACATTGCAGGTCTTATCATAGTCCGATAAAAAAAATTCTTCAGCTTGAGCGATACATTTGTGTCACATAAAATCTATGAAGTCCTCCTCATTTCAATCACACAGCTTGAATTCAATCATTTACACCTCCATCTATTTCTTCATTTGTTGTATTAATTTCCAAAATATTTAAATTGCATGATTTGTGGGATGATATTGTCTTCAACGTTCACCTTTAGGTTAGAAACACTTCTTCTTCTACACAACTTACATTTTATATACTTCGTCTTGCTTCTGTCATATGTAAGTCATGCATTTTTAAAATTCGTTTTCAAGTTTTCATTCTCTCATTTAAATCATCATTCGACTATTCAAGTAGGACTATATCATCCATAAAAAGCATGCATCATCTCGTTGTTAACTCTTAAATATGCTCAGTGAGTACATCCTAAATTAAAGTAAAAAGTTAGAGACTTAGGATTTAACCTTGATGCAAACCTATTGTAAGAGAGATATTGTTTGTCTCTCCATCTTGTGTTCATACACTAGTTGATAACTAATATATGCAATCCGTAAAATCTCTTTAGGCACTATATCATATGCCTCTTCTATGTCAATAAAAATCAAGTGCAAGTCTTATTGATCCATCTAATAATGTTTCATCTTATATCGTAATAGATAAATTGCTTCCATGATCGATCTTCTAGGCATAAAACCAAATCAATTTTCAATGACTTGAGTCTCTTTTCATAGTCTTCGTTCAATCATCTTTTCCCATAACTTCATGGTTTTATTTAAAATGCTTAATATAATATAATTCAACCTTGTTAAATATGCATTTCTATGAATCTCATTCAACTACATAAAATACTCAACAAATATTTAAAAGTATAATCCTTTAGTCTTTTATGTGGATTTATGTTCTTGAATGTGTTTGACCATTGGTAGATTTTAATAATGATGATAACAACTCTATAGGTCAAACTGCTTATGGATATTAAAATTAATTGATGATAACAACTCTATAAGAATCAACTGATGACTGATGGTGCCTAATAAAGAAGATATCTCAAGCCACGTCAGTCATAAGATTCAAGTTCAAATTGAAGTGTTAATTCATCCTTGTATCAAGCAAGAGAGATTGAAGATTTAATGTTGTAAAAATGTGAAAGTTTACTTGATCATGTACTTTGTATCTTAGAGCGATAAGTTAAAATGTTAAAACTCAAGAAAAACTCTTAAAATATTAAGGCAATCACACACACTAAAAAGTTTTTTAAATCCTCTCTTATATGATAAAAAAAATTAAAAACCTATCAAGGCTTCTAAAATCTGAAGGTTCTTGAATAAAATTTGCGTAAAAGCTCTATCTGTTGATTCTTGAGCTTAGCCAGTGTAAAAAGTTTATTTCTTTGATGTTGAAGGTCCGTGGGAAAATCCTGTAAAAAAAACTCAAGTCTATTTAATGAAACTCTCAGGAGAAAACTCATAGGAATAAGAATAAGTCAAGTGATTTGGTTGAACCTATTTAATATCGGGTGCACTCTTTATATATCTTCTCTTTTATTTCTGTTGTTCACGTTATTTCTATTGTGTATTCACCTCCATCTTCTTTCTTTATTTCCACTACCTTATCTTTGTGTGATTATCAAAATCAAAATTATTATTTTATGTAATCAAATTTGTATAAATTAGTTTTAATTTTTAATTCACCCAGTTCAACACCCCCCCCCCTCCCTCTCTCCACCCCCATTGTGTTTGATGTTGCTTAGCCAACAAGTGGCATCAAAAGATATTGTCATCAGAAGTATTATTTGAAAAAAACACTCGCTATATATGGATATTTTGGATAGTGATCATTAAAAAAGTTGTATGAATAATCATTATATCAAAAGTTTGATCCAACATATACAAAATTTGTTACATCACATGAAAAAGTTGTAACATCATGTGAAGAATCAGTTGTAGAAACATCTTCATCTTCCAGAGTTTCATCCAAAATTCATCGAAAAGTTTAAGTGAAGTACCTTCTAAAAGATCAACTAAATAATCATATGAAGAGGTAAACTTGTGCCTTAAAGCTACTTTATCCACAAACAAATGTTTGACTTAAGTATTAAGCTTAGCAAGGAAAATGAGAAGTTAGAAAGAAATAGCTTTGCTTTAAAATTCCATATTGAATATCTTGAAAGTAATAATGATTGACTTGGTATTGAATTGTGATTGTGCCTGACCAGAATAGACCGTCACAACTTGCTCCGAGCAGAATTTGAGAGTGATGTGGGGGGTATCTGCAAGACACTCTGATGACAAAGTAAGTTCCGGAATAAGCAAGCAAGCAAGTGAGTCATAAGTGTTCAATACATGACCCCCTCGTAGGACAGGGTATTTATAACCCTCAATGTTGGGCCAAGGTCTCCTCATTGGGCTGGTCAAGTAGGCCCAACATGGAGACTATCAGGTCCTACGTGAGTAGTGGGGACCCGCACATGATCCCCTACCTGAATAACTTCCCCCGTAAGATCAGGAGGATATGGAAGCGATCTTTCCAAGGCCAGGAAGACTCTATGATATTCGGAGGTGTTGATAGCCATCCCTATGAGGAAGATGCTTGTGAGGTGCTTATGCTCGTCGTGGATACTCCCACTGGTCGTGAGGTCGTGTGATAGGACCATTATTGGTCGAGGAGAGGATTGGAGCGTGACCTCGAGGTCCTCCTGACCGGTGGTGATCTTCCTAAGTGTAACTGGGTTCATCCCCGTGCGGTGAGGCTGTCTCCTCGTGGAGAGTAGTTGTTGCCCGACTCAATCGAGGGCAGAACTAACCAGCATGCTTTGAACAACATAATTGGATTGAGTCTCACATGGAGTTGGGCCAAGGGCAGGCCCAGTGTAGAACAGGAGCCCCCAATTCGTTGCTCCTGATCAAGGAGTTATGACTTAATGTCCAGCTTTTTCTTTCGCGGGGCTTTCATTGAATTTGAAGGAGAATGTCGTTGGTACATTGTTTACCCGAGCAGAGTTCGAAAAGGATTCGAGGTGGAATTATTCTAATTGTTTCTCGACTCGTGGGGAGGAGATAGCGCACCTGTCAGCCACGTGGCGTGACCTTTGGGACAACAATGATGGCCTAGGAAATAGGGGTTATCATTAACTGAGCACGTAGGTGTCGAGGAGAAAGGCGGCTTATGAGTTGCCCGATGCAACTTTTCGCATTCCTCGTTAGCCTTATAAATAACGCTTCAAGGCCCATTATTCCCTTTTATATTTTCGCGCTCTCCACATTCTCTGCTGCCAACATCATGCTGTCTTCTGCAACCGCCGAAATCGCCGCACATTTCATCGCGTATTCCTTATCTACCACCGTCGTTCTTCATCTATTCTTCTTCAAGTAAGTGATTCTTTCGTGATACTTCGTATGTAGATTGTTTTTTATGATGTTTTGGTAGTAGGACTTAGCGACTGGGGGTTTTGCATGGGGAGTCCATGGGTTTAGGCATATAATTTGTGATTATGCTTGGGAGATTCATCTTCTCATCGAGACTTAGATGAATCTTCCCCGTGGTCTGTGACACCCCAAATTTATTCAAGTGTTAAATAATTAGGAATTTAATTATTAAATTAATTAAAGGCTTAATTAATAATATTTTGGATTAAATGGATGAATTAATTATGAAATTAAAAAGGAAGACCGGGGGGTGTAAGGTTGAATTAGAGGTGTGTGAAGTAAAAAGCTCTACTAAATAATAACTAATTTATTACTATTATTTGGAAAATAATAAAAGGAATATAAAAAGAAGGATAAAAAGGAAAAGAAAAAGAAGGTTATTTGGAAAAAAGTCATTATACGTGAAATTGGAGAAGAGAAGAGAAGAGAGGAAAAAGCCAAACGCCGTGAATTCGAAGGATCATCGCGAGGTAAGGGGTGATTTCATTTA